TATTTTTATACAAAAAAGGTTCATAAAAAGATTTACTTTCTTTTTGTGTGTGAAAAACCGCTTTACTAACAGCTGCTTCACAACACGAGATCTAGGCTCTCCCAGGGAGAAGATTTTAAAATTCTTTCATAAACATCGACATTTACCATGATTTCATTATTTCGTTGTTAAGGTACTTACGCATGTTACAAAAATTTAAATTGAAAGTTCGATTACAACATGACTTCTTCTACTAAGAGAAACGAAGTAGTTAATAACCCTGTTTTCCACCCGCCCTGCAAACATGTCTTTGGTTTTAGGCAAAAAAAAAAAGTAAGCCTTGATCTTTTTATTAGGTCAATGCTTCAATTGAGAACTAGTAGTTAAATATTTAATATTTTACCGGAGCATTACCGAATTATGTAACAAACCAGTCAACTAAGTTACGGCGGATGTTGTACCACTTACAATAAACTTCAAAAACCTAAACTCCTATTTCTTTTCTGAACTATCTATAATGCTTGTACAAGAAAAATTTAGTTATCACTATAAATTTGAGACCATTAAACATGAAAGTTATCAAAAAGTGTTTTCTTGCGGTTCCTGTTTTTCTATATACAAGTGGTGTGCATTGTTCGCTGGCAAAATAAATACTTCAAACTTAAGCTACTAAGCAAAACTTCTGGGCCTTGCTGTTCTTTAAAGTACTATAGACGGGCGAAAGTGTGAAGATTAAAGAAAGTAAATGGTCCACCTTATCAGATCGAGGAATGAATCCAAATTACGATGTGGCTCATTTGCATCTTTTTGTTTGACTTCCCCTTTGTCCCCGGAATCTCCCGGTCGGATACTAACCACCAGAACTATTCCTAGGACTACAGCCNGTAGTTAAATATTTAATATTTTACCGGAGCATGTAACAAACCAGTCAACTCAGTTACGGCGGATGTTGTACCACTTACAATAAACTTCAAAAACCTAAACTCCTATTTCTTTTCTGAACTATCTATAATGCTTGTACAAGAAACATTTAGTTATCACTATAAATTTGAGACCATTAAACATGAAAGTTATCAAAAAGTGTTTTCTTGCGGTTCCTGTTTTTCTATATACAAGTCGTGTGCATTGTTCGCTGGCAAAATAAAAACTACAAACTTAAGCTACTAAGCAAAACTTCTGGGCCTTGCTGTTCTTTAAAGTACTATAGACGGGCGAGAGTGTGAAGATTAAAGAAAGTAAATGGTCTACCTTATCAGATCGAGGAATGAATCCAAATTACGATGTGGCTCATTTGCATCTTTTTGTTTGACTTCCCCTTTGTCCCCGGAATCTCCCGGTCGGATACTAACCACCAGAACTATTCCTAGGACTACAGCCAGTAAGGTTGTTGTAAGATAGTAGAGTATTGTACGTCGACCGATTTTTCCCGTTGCTTTCGAGTCCAGCGTAGCTAGCGCACAGATCAAGCTAGCTACAATCAATGGCAGGATCAACATCTTCAGCATATTCATAAACAGCTCGCCAGGAAAACCAATCAATATGATAGTCGTCGCTTTTTGCTCTGGATCCACGATCTCGTTGACGTAGGGGTTCGCCGCGACTCCGATTATAAACCCGACGACCACGCCGATTATGATCATGAAAAGCAAGATGTCTTGCTTCAGAGCTCGCCAAATTCTCACCCAACACGAGCAGCATTTTCTTGGAAATTCGCCAGTCCCTTTACGCCTTAAACGAGCCATCTTCTTTTTTGAGACGCTGTCTTTAAGCGATTCGTAATCAACAGATCGAACTGTGGCGTCTCTTCTCAGCTGTATACGAAAGGGCGGATGAGAAACTGTTTTTCAGACCAAGCTAAAATCCAGCTGAGATGGATTAAGCTTTTGTGATTTAAGTGTTTAAAACACGGCTTGTGCCTTTTATTCTACTAACTACGGGTTCTTCATTAAATTTTAAAGCCGGCCTCTGTGACCTAGACACGTGTATATTTTATTGAATGAAAACCTGAAGCCTTCAAAATCTAATGAGGTCTCTAACTGTTAGGATTTAATTATTTCCTAAATCTTTCAAAACAAGTTAGTATGATAACACATACAAGCTATTATAATTACAATTATAATTATTAAAAATTGTTAACAGGTGACTTGCACGCAAATAGCGAAAATCGAAACAAAATTCATGGGGCTGCAGTGTCACGGCCGTCTAGTTCATGTTGATAATTTGCTAATCAAGCTTCCTTGTTGGTTATGGAACTGAACTAAACTTTAAAAACAAAAAAAATTCAACTTCGTGTCAGACACTAAATTTTTCTCCCAGCGTCATATCAAACCGGTGCAAAACATCAAAAAAGAACTTTGAAAAACTGTTAGGCTAACATGTTTTCAAAAACCGCAATTCACAAAACAAAACAAAAATTCAGGAAAACTACTTCAAAAGCAATTTAATTCCTAGCGATTATTTGTAGTTTTATATTTCTTCTAGATATCATGAGATATGTCACTCCTATTTCAAAAGAACTTTGTTCCCAGGTTTCTCTCCTAGAACCCGACCTGGGAATGAGGTTGGTGACATCCAAACACTTTTTTTCGCGTCAGCTCAGATAAAAAAGTTTTATTGTGGCAATTAACTTTTGATATATTTACTCTTAAATGAATTTTTTTAAAATCCAATAATCGAACTAACCTTTTCAACACGTGGAATTAACGTAGGTGACAAAAGAAAACGCCACGGGAATCGTCAACCAATTGAAAATCAATAATTCAACGAAAAACAGACCAAAAGTAAATAATATATCGTCTTACCTCACGTGATCAGAGCCCTATGTAAATTTCTCAAGGTTTCCGTAAAATTCCGAAAATAAGCCCCTCCATGTATAAACTCCTCAAAATGCAGCTATTTCAAGAAAGAATGTCGGAAAAAAAGTGCACGCGACAATCCCGAAAGGTAATATCGGATACGATCAATACACTGTTCCTGACGACTGTAGCTGTCGAACCTACTTTTGTTGCTTTGCTTTAGCACTCGAAACACATTTCCATGGCCTTTCGTGCCAATTCTTTCAAATTTCTTTGAAAAAAAGAGAACTCAAAACCACCCACAATGCCTTTCAGGATTGTCGGGTGCACTTTTCCCGACAACCTTTCTGGAAATAGCCGTATAAGCCTCCCAAACCGGTAACGCAAAAAACCCTCCGTTAAATCGCCCCTCCAAATATAAGCCCGCCGGGGGCTTGTACTTGGAAAATTGCCCTCAAATACAAAGTAAAACAAAGCAAAAACGGTAAATTTAATTCCAACCATAAGGCAAGCCCAATCAATTTTGAAACGCAAATAAGCCCCTCCAAAACTGAGCCCCTCAAAAAGGGCCTTTGATAAATATAAGCCCTGGGGCTTATTTTCGAAATTTTACGGTATTTTTACATCAATCCCCACAGAATTTTCTAGCTACACATACATGGCCGCCATTTCATTGTCACTAATAACGGCCGCCGTGATGTCACGTGAAAACGATCCAAACTTCAACCCGCCGNCCCCTTATCTGGAGGGCTGGATCCACCACTGTGCAGTGAAAAGAGAGGACAAAAGAAGCGTACGTTTTGATCAACAACTGAGGACATTTACTCACTTATTTTCGAATGTCTTTTTAACATACTTAAATGTATCGCTCACAGACATTTATCGTCGAACCTTTGAGCTCGTTTATCCCAACCTTTCACCCCCTGTTCCAATTAACCAGGTGATTGTGATGGAGATTTCATTGCTAGCGCTGTGACTGGGATGATCGCTGTAAAATTCAGCCAATTTCAGCTATGAAATTCTACACCAAAGTAAAGTAAAGTAAAAGCTTTATGTGTCGATGTATTTAGTTTTCACAACTAATTGGGGACGCAAAAATAAAAATTATTTACAAATAATAAATAAAAATAATAATGTATATACAATTAAAATATGTAGCATGTATAAATTGTATAATAAAACAGTAGGTATATAAAGGGTAGTCTCTAAAAATTGCAAAGGTTACAGCAGCTATTGTTGTTGTTTAAGAGTGACGTTAGGTCTTTTTTCCTAACGTTTTTTTTGAAAGATTCAATATTCGAGGAGCCTTTCAATTTAATATCTAGTTTCGACCCTATATGAGGTCCTTGATATCTAAGAGAATGCTTTCCATAGTTAATAGTGTTAAAAGTCGGAATATCAAAATCACATCAGACCTCTTCTTGAAAATAAAAACGACAGGTATACAAACACCGTTGCATAAGTAAAATCAGCTGAGCTTTGATTTATAAAGCCGTACTTCTTCTCGATGTTTGGAATGTTAATGAAAGACTCTCCCCAGTGAACAAATATATTTGTTTCCACCCATTTTCAGTTAATAACATGGAACGGTTTCAAAAAAGTAGTGATAGATCTTCCGCTTTCAGAAGTGCCCCAAATAAACCACAATTTCAATTTCTTAAAAATTGAGACTAATTGTATCTTTGATTTGAAAGTGTTAGGTTTTTAAGTCTACCCTCATTCAATTCACCCCTTTTCCACCACTGACGCTGCTGGTTGTAAGTTTTAGAGACCTCTTCGTACGATATGGTCGTTTACAAAGTACATTTAATTCCAAATAGGAATAATAATAATAATAAAAACAATGATACTCAACGAAATGATGATTACGTCAATCCAAACTTTCGAAAACAAGACGTTTCTTCCAATGAAACTTTTCCTATCATGCAATAGACCATTTTACAGTTATTCCAGCCTTTGAATGAATGTGAGGCGGAGATTGACCTTGTTTTGATACAAACCTCCTTCCTTTTACGCTTGAAAAATACAAGTTAGCATAAGAACATAATTTACATAACAAAGAAGGAAGGGTTGTACCAAAACGAGGTCAACTCCAGCCTGGTTTCCACCTGTAACTGTAAAATGGACTATTCGCTCGGAAAGCTTTCTCATAAGTAGAGGGAGAGGAGGGGGGGGGGAGGGGAGAAGGTTTCCCAAAACTAATAACGAAAAGAGATCTTTCTATTCTCAGGTCAAACTTCTTTCTGTTGAGGCTTCAAGAAATTGGTATCCTCCCAGTTGCCTGCTTTGTATGTCTCCCAATAAAGTCCTCGTGTCCTCTTCCTTTTCGCATACCTGTCGAGAATAAAAGCATTGACAATTTTCTTTCCCCCTGAGTAACCATTAATATAGCTTCCAGGCAACAAATTTCAAGATTCCACTGCCCTAATCGAACCACGCGTGACGAAAATCCTAGTCTTTCTCGTAGCCGTTTTTGTCGAGACAGCAACGGCTGCGAGGGAGACTTCGAGAATCCCGCCTTATGTGTAAACCTCGCCACGCTCGGGTCTTCCGCCCCTTACTTCGTAAGAAAAGTGATATTTCCTCTCTGTGAGTGAGCAGGTAATGCGCCCGCCTTTGAAACTTGCCAACCAACTTAGTTTATAAAGTAATACAGTCGACTTCCGATAACTCGAACCTTCAAGGGAAATCGAAAAAAGTTCGAGTTATTGGAAGCTCGAAGAAAATAGCCAGGAGGATGGAAAACTGCACAGTCACAGTAAACATTTTAAACACATGAATAGTAGAAATGTCAAGTGAAAATTAAAAGATACTTCGAGATTATAAATCAGAACGTAACGTAACAAAACATAGCCTAAATAGAGCATGCGTTTTTACTGTTTCGAGAGGCAAACAACACCAACCTCCACTAATAAACTATATGCCTACAACACGTCAATTGGAAATTCAAAATTCAATAGAATAGACTGTTTTTTTCCCCACTTTTTAAGGGCTCAAAACACGGTTCGAGTTATAGAGGGAAAAATTATATAGAAGTGATCTGAGGGGAAACAAAAACTACTTCGAGTTAGCGGGAGGTTCGAGTTACCGAGGGTTAAATTACAGTAAATGTCTGACGGAAATTCAGGGGAAATCGATTTTGGTTCGAGTTAGCGAGAGGCTCGACAGGTTCGAGTTAGCGAGGGTTCGAGTTATCGAGAGTCAACTGTATTTGAATGAAATTACTGTTAATGTTCTATCGCAGTTACTTGCACAGAGAATATCATATTTTAATAGACTTAATTCTCCCTGTACTTGGAGGGGTTAAGGTAAAAATTCGTCCAGTAGACTGATTTCCTCTGTTACCCTTTGTAATGAAGAGATGTTATAATCTTGTAAAGCCAGATTAACTTTTAATGACCTTTATCTTACCGTGGGTAGTTGTTGTCCTTGAAACATCTTTTCAAAGAAGAATTTGGTTAAACTTGCCCGAAATGCCGCGCTAAGCAACAGGAGCAAGCTATCCCAGTCGCGCGAGCCTTGCACCGTTCCTCCTTTAACCAGCGAAATACTTAAGGAAACCAGCGCTGTGTCATAGAGAAAGAAACCAAGATTGCGAACAAAGTACGCGCTCAGAACTAGGCGACAGAGAGGTTTAAACACGCGTTGGGTGTTTAACTGGCCATGGAAGCGATTCTCAACCCAGTTTATGTAGGTGTCATGGGCAATGAAATTAACGGCGCTGGCAAGTATCGTAAGAAGCAACATTTCTGATATCAGAGCCACTGCTTGGACGTTTACTTTTCCAGTGTGATCCTTTCCATGGACGATATCCACATAGAGAATAGACAAAGCGTTGGAAACGCAAAACAGGCACCAAACCCAGAAATGTCCTACTCGAAGGACCGCGCAGAAGAACTCTTTGACGTTAAAAAACTTCCAAGAAAAGATAGCCGTTATTAGCAGAAGTGAATTTCCGTCCTCCACGAGCGTTCCTATCGCATTCACAGCATTGCTGAATTTTTGTTGACCCAGAATATTGTGCGACNTAATGAAGAGATGTTATAATCTTGTAAAGCCAGATTAACTTTTAATGACCTTTATCTTACCGTGGGTAGTTGTTGTCCTTGAAACATCTTTTCAAAGAAGAATTTGGTTAAACTTGCCCGAAATGCCGCGCTAAGCAACAGGAGCAAGCTATCCCAGTCGCGCGAGCCTTGCACCGTTCCTCCTTTAACCAGCGAAATACTTAAGGAAACCAGGGCTGTGTCATAGAGAAAGAAACCAAGATTGCGAACAAAGTACGCGCTCAGAACTAGGCGACAGAGAGGTTTAAACACGCGTTGGGTGTTTAACTGGCCATGGAAGCGATTCTCAACCCAGTTTATGTAGGTGTCATGGGCAATGAAATTAACGGCGCTGGCAAGTATCGTAAGAAGCAACATTTCTGATATCAGAGCCACTGCTTGGACGTTTACTTTTCCAGTGTGATCCTTTCCATGGACGATATCCACATAGAGAATAGACAAAGCGTTGGAAACGCAAAACAGGCACCAAACCCAGAAATGTCCTACTCGAAGGACCGCGCAGAAGAACTCTTTGACGTTGAAGATCTTCCAAGAAAAGATAGCCGTTATTAGCAGAAGTGAATTTCCGTCCTCCACGAGCGTTCCTATCGCATTCACAGCATTGCTGAGTTTTTGTTGACCCAGAATATTGTGCGACGTATTGTTTACCCTACAATGCTCGATTGGGGTCGAATAGTAAAGACAGACGGCGGCTGGGACAAAATTCAAAAGATTCAGAATAAATCTTAAGAAGACTAGGAAAGCTTGAACATATCCCGCAAACCAGAGCATGGTGTTGTTCTGTCACCGCTGTTGTGGGTTCGATTACTGGATCTGTAAACATTGCCCTCAGTCGTAGAGATATTGAAATCGTGAATTCCCGGATCTGGCGAGCGTTTTGGCAGCACTAGATGGGTAGCGCAAGGTACTATGTCTAATTCAGAAACAAAGGAGCATTTATTATATAGGTAGTCTGGCGAGTGTTCAGTACAAGCATCGAGTACTTGCAATCTTGCTATGATTTTTCAGTGAAATCTTTCAAAAACCATTGACCAATTTTCATGCACTGGTAGGGTGAAAGTGAGAGTTACTACAAAACCGAAATCCGAAAAATGTAAACAAGTTGTCCGACGGCTGTTTATATTTTTGTTACTCAGGTTACTGACCGCGCTTAGAAAACAGGTTTCGGTTTCGAAGAAACCTGGCTCAGGCTACGACATTTCCGTTTGGACATCTTTCCATATATTCCTTCGAAATTAGTACTCAGAATCAAAGAAAAAACAAAGCATAAGTGAAGGAACGTGCATCATCATATATTAGTCAAAACATTCCAATTTGCTTTGCAGTAGTATAGATGTCAGCTTGTCCTTGGCTTAGGAAGGAAGAGTCTTCTTGGAAACTTCCAGTCTCGCGCCACCGAGTTGTGTTTCACTTATGGTGCTTCTCTGCGTCGTTTGCAGTATTTTTTCTTTCTTATGGGTAATAAGAATGAGTTTCACACTTTTTTTCTTTGTACCTGCGATGGTTTGTCTTGCAAATGAAACAAATACCGAGACGTGTGGAAATAAAGTTCTCACCCAGGACGTGAAAGACAAAGTTAACATGGCGGGGACATTTGTTGAAGATGGAAGTTCATTTCTGGCAATTTTGTTGATATTTTGCTGGGATAAATTCAACGTCATTAATCTTTTACTTATAGCTCCTCGTCTGCCCGTATTCTGGTTTTGGATTGGTTTATTTTGTATAGGCACCCTCTCCACTATCAACATGGACTTCGATTCGAACAAGTGGGATTGGCTTGGAGCGAGTTTAATACTTGAAAACGCAACTCTAATTGTACTATCCCTTGCTCTTAAGTTTATCGATAAATCGACCGTAAAGACGTGGATAGAGAGAAGAGTCTCAAACCAGCATTGTGTTAAGTTTATTTACTACCTTTACATCTTAACACTTTGGATGTATTTACTACGCAATCTATCCTTGCTGTTTTACGACATGGCGGTTTTCGCGAAGAAAATCGACCGGCACGCAGGCAGCAAACAAATTGACAATATCATGAAAATTGGAGACATTGCAATAAGGGGCAGTTTTGTGCAGTTTTATTATGCTACCATATTTAGAAATCCAAACTTATCGACGGTCTGTAAAGAACATTCTGGAACACCTGATAATATATTTCCCATTGATGCTAGTGTTTCCGCTGACCAACGCCAAGCATTGGTAGCATGGGAACCGTACATTAGCTAAACGCCTTCGTGGATCTAGTACCGTAAACTGCCACTCACAAGCTCCATCTTCCAAAGGGGTTGTCGGAGGGCTTACAAATCCGAAAGGGGTCATAACCGGAATAGAAAAGGCGGCTCCAAACAGGCCACAGCAGTGCTGATCAAAATACCTTTTGCAATTACTAGTTGTTAACTAAGTAATGATCTGGGTAAGGTGGATAGCAATTTCTTTTGTTATGCGGCAACGGTGCTTTCCCCAAATAGAAATGTTCTCATTTTTACACAGAGAATGCATAAACCTACATGAAGGCTGTTTACGCAATAAAATGAATTTACACTCCACTTTGAAAGGGTGTTTTTTTGTGTTAAAAGATTTTGACCAATCACAAGAGTTGAAAACAATAGCCAAGAAAAGTTTACAATTTTACATGTTCCCCACGTAGGATTTCTTTGTTATTCAAACTGAGACCAGATTTTGTTATATGGAAGATGGTTGGAAAGTAAGGATGAATATATGTACCGCTTTATGAAGTTTTATTAACTTTTGCTGTTTAAGCCAATCAGAAGTACAGACAATAGAAAAGTGCATTCCAACATGTTCGTTGCCGTTGTTGCTATCGTTCTTACCTGGACCGTTTCTTAATCTTCAAAACGTCATAATAAATCGAATTATGAGGGATGCTTATATTCGTAGCTGGAGGGGAGCTTATACCTGGAGTGAAGTTATAGTCGGACGCACTTTTTTGTTTACGGGTAGGTAGGCCTAAAACTGAGGGGCTTTTAACTGATGGAGGGGGGGGGGGG